CAGGTMGTCCCTGCTGTGACTACCTTTCCTAATATATCCTGGGATTCCTTCTGCCTTTTTGACAAGTGTATTGTGTTAGTGAAACAGGTAAGTTTACAAAAATAGAAACTATAACCTATTCTATGTGTTCTACACATGCAATACCAGTTGATGCACAGCTGAGCTTGTGCATGAAAAAAACACTGAGATTTATCCCTCTGGGGATCTGGATTTCCTCAGCAGCCCCTGAAGGGCTGGGGAGCTCATTAAGGCAGCAGAAAGGCTCAGTGACACAACTCCGATTCCCTTAGATCTCCACGCCAACATGCAGCAGCACTTGTTCTGAATACTCAATGTAGGAAAAGGTTCTAATTCTTACAGAGCACCAAACCACGATATTTAAAACATACTAGAGATGGCTAAATTAATRTTTTAGCATCCTTTACAATATATACATAAAGCAACTTATTGTTCTCACTACAAATTTCTGCAGAGGGTGTTTGCAGGTCTTATGGCTTTCCACCACAGACACCAAAAATAAACTGATGCCAGAATGATATCAGTGATCCACTGTTCTATTACCAGCTGTATCCAAGAAGCAGAAGCTTCCAAAAACAGCTGAACATATTTTAGTATTCCCTAAAAATATATGGTGTGCAATAAAAAAGTTCAGGAAAAARAATTCCCTTCTGATTTTTGGCAGTTTAGTTTATACTATATGAGAATGAGATTTAATCACCCTTATCTTAATTATCCTTAACTTGGTATGTGCAGTAACTGCAGGTATTACTAACAGCTATAAAATTATTCAGCCACAAAATTTACCTAGACTGCCCAAAGCACTATTTTCTACATGCCTATCTCAGTTTAAAATGCCTTTCTTTAATTTATTCTAAATTCATTGGATATAAATTTTATTGCATGAATTCCCTGTTTTGCTGATAAGGGTCATAGAAGTAATGATTAGTTTTTGGAAAAGGTTTCTTTCCATAGGCTATGTCTATGGAAACAGTTTATATTTTAAATGCTTGTGCTGCTTTCATTCACCTTGTGTTCACACAGAACACCTTTCCTCATGTAAAACTGAAGTTACCTTTGGGGTTTTGTAAAATTGGGTCATGGACATGGCTTCTCCATGGCTGGTTCTGTTCCTGTTTCAGCTGCTTCTTGAATTTCAAGCCAAAGCTTTGATATCATGCAGCTTTTCTATCATCTCCCCCCACCCAATTAAGGTTGTGTTTCCCAATACAGTATTCAAAAACCCAAACCCTGTACTAATTACATTTCATTTTCCAACMTTTTTCCCATCCTGTTTATGCTTTCATCAACTGCATCAAAAGTGTGCTTTGTTCTTGTATTTGTGTTCTACTCTGTGATCCTTCCCATATGAAATTCAGATTTTGCCAGGCTCTTTTGACCAGGTAAACCCTCTTATTTGTGGTCTTTTCTTTCTAAGAGAAGCCTCACTTTTATTTTTATGAAAACATCGTGTGAGTTATGAGGATCAAATCTGAACAGCCAGCTGAGGAGAGAATGCTGAAAAACACCACAAAGATAAAAAGGACAAGTTAAAATACACCAGAGCAGAGGCCCAGAATATTTCTGGAAGTAATTAAGGAGTTTGCTTTATAAATGAGTAAGCAAGGGAGATATTATTACAGGGAAAGGAATTTTGGCTGGAGGTTTGAGTTCTGGCATCAACTTTCTTGGTRGAAAAGTTTTCCTTCTTGGTGGAGGAAATGTAAATCACTGACTGACAGAAAGTGAACTACAAATAAGCTGTGACCTTAAATTTCTCAAGGGGATTTAAAAAGTGATTTTTAAAATATTTTTTCCTCTCTTCTTTTTTTTTTTTTTTTTTTTTTTTTTTTTTTTTTTTTTTTTTTTTTTTTTTTTTTTTTTTTTTTTTTTTTTTTTTTTTTTTTGTTCTGTAGTAGATTCTGAAGGTTCAGACATCTGGGTGTTCTATTCTGCTTCCTTCATCACAGTGTGATGCTGCCTTGTGAGAAAGGATCTGATTGAGGCTGTGGCAGAGCTGGTTTGGGGACACTTTGAGGATCACACAGAAGTTGACCTTGAGCCAAYGACTTTATGAAACTTTGCTAAGCAAAGGAAGACAATGATTTATTGAAGTGGAAGTGATTGTCCCAGAGCTGCCATCTCATGAGCTTACTTGTCCACCACTGAGGGTCTAGGAGCAGGATTGCAAGGTTTTATATAAATAATACATAAATCTGGACAATGAACCCATGAGATTATGGCAGGAGTGAATTTACCCTTCTAACATTCCTTCAGTACTCCTACTTTTGTGCACTTGTGGGTTTTTACCACTTGGAGCTTCCTGTTCCCAAAGAGAGTGGGAAACAAATACATGTAAAAGTAGGCAGCAAGTTCAGTTTTCACTGAAAGGTCTGGAAGCATTTTTGTCATTTAGTCATCATAAAAAGACCATTGGAAAGCTTTTAGCTTTTCTCTTAGTGATCCATTTTCCATTTTCATAATATAATCAATAACTACATATTAACAGCTTCCCATTGTTGCATTCCACTACAAGTAGTGGCTGTTGGGCCAGAAAGGTTATTTCCTGGAAAATAAAAAAAAAAAAAAAAAAAAAAAAAGAGGAAAGATGATTATCAGGAAAGCAATTAGAATGTAAAACACTTCTAGGGAAATGAAAAACAAATCTCTCAAGTTCCCTACTTTTTTGCATTATAATGACTTGTAGCAGACATTCAAAAAAGCTGCTGACTGGCTGCTTTGCTCCCTGTAAGCATTCCTGAAGATTGAATACATACTTTGCTGCAAAGCATGACCAAGTGATTTTTTTWATTATTGTTGCTAAGAAGAGGGAGTTGGATTAGAAAAAGTCATTCCTCTGAGAAGTAATACATCCAAAATAATCTCACAATGAAACAAAACCATAAAAAAACAACAAATGAAAAGCAAGCAATACAAAACCAGAAAGAGTTTTAATTAGCAGAGCTAGCTGCCATACTGTTATTTAAAAGTTTAAAGATGTACATCAGTTGGAGATAGAATATCAAATATCGGTAGCRAGAACAGCAGGAAACTTTTTCCAGTGGATGAAAGGGATAAAAAGAAGAAAAACAAGTCTCGGTTGCAGGAACAGCTGACTAAGCTCCTGACGTGCCCGACACACAGCCAATTGTAACAAATACCAGGGAAAACAGTATCTTCTAAACGAAAATTCTCCTTACTTAGAAACTTAAAATCTAGATTAAAATGTAGCCATTAGAACAACATACGGGCAAAAGATACACGGATCAGAAAGAAACAAAGTGCTGCAAGTACAATTGCTTACACAAGGTTTTCTCTGGGTGAGCCTTCAAGGATTGTGGGCAGGGAGGCCCAGCTGACATAGAAATGCAAAATTCCAGGGAGTGAGAGAGAATCAGAGGCATGGCTCCACACCTCTGTGGTTTGGGGGGGGGAGGGTTAGCGGGGGTGGGAAGCCAGAATGAATATTCTTTGCTTTTCACATGTTAAAATCTTGGTGGATTCAAACAAACACAAATCTTTCTGGTATGTCACAAATTCAGATGCAAAGACTGTAGAGTTGGAGCTGCTACACAATACAAAATGTTTTAAGGGAAGATGAGAAAGTAACAGAATCTAGGAAAGCTGGTAATGATTTAGAATATATGTTTGCTTACACTGCAGTGAGGCTTCCAGTTCTCTTTCAAGGTGTTTTCCTAAAAGTTAAACTCTGAATTTCACTTGCACTGGGAGCCCCTAGTAGGACACGATGTTCTTGTAGCAACTCTTGATACCTTTCTCCTTGATTACCCTCCTGATTGCTTCATGCTCCTTGTCCAAGCTGGCAGGAGCCAGGGAAGAAACTCTCCTCCCTTGCAGTCCTCTGTTCTTCCTGTGGCTGTTGAACTCTATAACCCTATGGAAGGGAAGACAGAATTGGGCAAAGTTTGGCCCTTTACCTTTGGTTTATTTGCTATAAATTTATTATATTTGCTATAATTTTATTCAATTTTATTTATTTTCTATCATATTATTGTTTTGCTTTTTCCAAGAGGAATACAAAGCTTTATTATACTTAAACCTGAAATGTAATTTAACTAATGTTCCAAAATCTCCCTTAAGAAAAATATAAATGAAGCTGACTAATTTAGTAATTTTCTATCCTTAGCAACAGTGGCAAACACACAAGTCTGTAAAAGATATTTACAGCCTATGATTAAATATCAGGCTGTTCTGAGCTGTTCTTGTCTTGTGCCCACGATACTTCTTTTGCCAGCCCCCTGAGAATCAACGCCTTGGGAGTAAATAAAATCTCTCGGGTGAATGATGAAATAATCCTGAAAACAACAATAATAATGCTAATAATAATAATATAATAATAATAATAATCTGTAGAGCTTTCAAAAGCAGCCTGGGATGATGACCTACAGACTGTAGGCTCCATCTGTTTAGTAATTCCTGATTATAGGACTTTAAACTATCTTTGGGGTTTCAAGACCTAGTGAAATTCTAAAGTTGCTCCTTCCAAAGTCATTAAGAGAGGGCAGATAGACACAAAATCTGGTCATGTTAATCTTAATTCTGTAGTAAATGGGCTGTGAACAAGGCTGGAAGTAAGGCCTGATGAAAAGGTGCACACAGGGGCACCAGAAGAGCATCCAGCTTGGAGTCTACTGGACACRCAGGCCTCAGCACATAAGTTGGAATGCTTATGAAAAGGATGTTGTGGAGTTGCCCCAGAGTTCTGGTCATCTTCTGTCAATTTAATGCAAAGGAATTGRCTGTAAGCACAAGAATGCAGTGCAACTTTCGCATAATTTCTGTTTTTTTGTGGTTTTTTTTGATCCTTGACTTCTTTAAACTACCAAGAACATTGCTGGGAAAGGTGTTTTTGTGAGGAAGATATGTAAGCCAGTTTAGTAATTTCTTCTCTCATKGACACAGAATTGCAACAGTTCCCTGCTCTTGCCTTCCCCTTCTATCTCTCATCTTCCCACTTTTATGTCTTTCTTTGCCTTTCACAGAATCACAAAATGGTTGAGATTGGAAGGCACCTCTKGAGATCCTCTGGTCCAACCTCTCTGCTCATCTGGAGCAGKCTGTACAGGATCAAATCCAGGTGAGTTTTGAGCATCTCCAGAGAAGGACACCCCATGGYCTCTCTGGGCAGCTTGTCCAGTGCTCTGCCACTTTCAAAGTAAAGTTTTCCTGCATATTTAGATGGATCTYCCTGTGTTTCAGTTTGTGCCCATTGTCCCTTCTCCTGTCACAGAGCACCAGCACTTATCAACAGCTGTGCTTAGGAAGCTTTGGTAAGGTCCCTTCTYTGCCATCTCCAGGTTAAACAGGCCCAGCTCTCCCGGTCTGTCCTCACAACTCCAGACCCCTGATGGTCTCCACAGACCTTTCTTGTCCTGAGGGGCCCAGAACTGGACACAGCACTCCAGAGGTGGCCTCACCAAGGAGGTGAGTAGAGGAGGAGGATAAAAGCCCCCTGGGCCTGCTGGCACTGCTCTTCCCAGTGCACCCCAGGATGCCACTGGCCTTCCTGGCCACAGGGACACTCTGCTGGCTCTTGGACAGCCTGCTGTCCRCCAGGACTGTCCAGTCTTCTCTGCAGAGCTGCTTCCCAGCTGGTCACCCCCAGCCTGTGCTGGTGCTGGGAGTCTTCCTCCCCAGGTCAGAGCCTCTATTTGTGCCTGTGGAACTTTGCTGGGCTCCTCTGTGCCCAGCTGTCTGGTCTGTCCAGGTTTTACTGAAAGGCAACTCAGCCTTCTGGGGGTTCTGCCTCTCCTCCCAGCTCTGTATGGTCAACTAAAGTGCTGATGGCCACCCAGGTCACTGATGAGTAACTTGAACAAGCCTGGCCCTTGGGGACACCATAGCTGCAGGCCTCCAGTGAGACTCTGATCACAATCCTGAGCTCTGCCATTCAGCAAGATCTCAGTCCATGGGGTTTCTCTCTTCTTTATCATCCATTCAGGTTGAATGTAAAGTGGCAGTCATTTRTATGTGATAACTGTGCTCTCAGCCCCTCAAGATAATTCTCTACACATTTTTTAATTGTTTTAATTTAGTTCAGTAATCTCCTCTCTGCCCCCCTTTGTACTGTAAAATTGATTAGAGACTTCACTAGAGAATACAGAATGACACGCTAATACAACCTTAGAAAGAGGAAAAACTATTCTAGGCTTCTTTTACAGCTTGCATGACATTTAAATGCATATTTGATATTGTCTTTTTCACAGACTGTGTTTTAAATTGCTGTTTATAACTTTCCTTCATGGAGGATGTTAGGTTAGTCAATAAAATGTTACAAAAGCATAAATTTCTAGAAGGTGCAAAAGCCATTCAACTCCTCCTCCTGTATTGCTTCAGATGAATTTATTCTTGCATGCAAGAGACCTTAAATCTGCCAAAGTAGACAATTTTTGGTACTTACACAATATGTGTACTTGTTGCCCTTGAGAAAAACACCAGGATATGGTAAATCATTGGACACATGTAGAGTTCAAGTTTAATCAAGGAYCAGTCAACTTGTAACTACTGTTCAAATATTAAAATACTCTTTGTCTATTAAAATAAATACAGGAACTGGCCTTAGTTATGATTTTGTGCTGCTTTATTTCATCTCTATTTTTATACAGGTATTTTTTGAGTGTAACTAGTATGAAGGATTTTTTCTTCTTTCTTTTTGTGGYTTCTTTTTCTTTCTTCTCMRTGGCTATATTCTTTTATAAATAGCTCTGAACAAATATWCAGCATGCAGGAAATGGAGAAACTGCAGAATTCCTTGCTAAGCTGCTCATTTTGATKTAGCACCTGCTGAAGTGTAAGCATGCCTTTGGTCCTACTGACTTAGGCAGGTTTATCGGGTTTTGTATCTTGTTGGCATTGAGATTAATTAACAGACCAGGTAAAGGGGTTTGTTTAGTTTGCTCAGGTTTCCTGCAGGATGTGTAACTGGGTAACTGTTCACACACCATTCATGGACTCTGAGCCAGGGACAGCACAGAGGGAAGGCTCCTGGGCATTCTTCTGGAGAAGCCTTGGAGGTAACCAARCCCACTGGCACAGATGTCCAGACATCCACAAGAAGCTTCTGAGGTCTCCATGTGAAACCCTGAACAGCTGAAGGAGCTGGAAACTGCCCGTTTCCCATGTAATCACATCTGCTACCACATTACATTATGCATCACATCACTCCCATGTTGGAAAAAGGACTTAGATAGTCAGGAACTAGGTTATCACRTGGAATGTGTTAAATGAGTGCCACAACTGGGAGCCTGCTAGAAAATKAAGCTGTGAAACTGCAGTGAACACTGAGGCTTTTTGCTCTGCTGTCTCATATAGCCTTTCAAAATATGCTTGAAAAAGCTATAACCTATTATTGTTTCAAGCAAACTTGCACAAGAGAGGCGTTTTTACCATTTCAACAACATACCAAGGAGTATCCATCTTCAAGAAATTTCTAAACTGCCAAGATTTTTATAAAATAAACTATTTTAAGCTCATCTTCCCCAAGATTAAAACAAAATCTGTTCACAGAGTACAATAAACATAACAGAACKATCAACTTTCTGTGTCAAGAGTTGTTGCTGGTACATCAGTATGGATGTTAGGCCACCAGTCACTTTAAAAATCAATATTATAAATAAATATATAAGAGCTGACTTACAGTTTTACACCATGTGTAGAAAGATGTGATTCATCTTGACACTGATAATACATGTGGGATAATGAACAGAAATGATATGCTTGAATGCACTGAAGAAATCCTGTGATCAAAGTACAGGACTAGAGGTCAAAAATGTATGTCCAAGCCCATTGTCTGACTGCTCTAATGGCATATTTAACCTTCTGATGACTCAGGTTTTTTATTTATGAGATTAGGACAATCTAAAGTACTTTTAAACTCCACTATGCAAAATGTTATTAAAATTAATTGTGGCTAGAAGGGGTCCCATTTCTAGTCACATTTATGCAATGAGTCCTGAGGCAATTACTGAATTACTGGGTTTGGAAAGCAGCCAGGTGAACTGCACCTGGGAAGTTAAAACTGGTTCTGATCCTGATGTTANCACTGACATAAAGGCAAGGTGAAAAGCATAGGAATAAATTAAATGTCACAACCTGGTTCCCGATTAGCAGAAAAGGAAAAGGGAATGGCGGAACAAGGAGGATAAGCAGGTCAGACAGGCTGCCTGGTAGAGAGCACAAGCCTGGGAGAGAAGCAAAACATCCTATTTCCTTCRGTTCATTGTTTTGGTCATCTCTAACCAGCCTTGGAATGACTTTACTTTGGTGTGGTGTACCTGCAAATGTATCAAGCATTATGAGAAAGCACGCTTTGKGGGGTTTGATTTGGACACAGCAAATATTTACAGGAAACAAAAGGTAAAAAGGGAAGGAAACYGGGTAAGTAGCTAACAGTAACTTTTATTGAACTGTTTAAAAACAGGAATTAAGAATTCCCAATGGACCATGAGAACAAGCCAAAAGGATGTGTCTTTATAGGATGACCAGAAAGATGAGAGTGCTACTGCCTGTGTTCAAGGTTCTTTCATCAATTTTGTAAATRTTTAGTATACAGAAATTCAGCTCCCATCATTCCCTGATGATCTAAGCACCATAACTACTCCAGCTTCCCCCCTTTATGTAAAAAATACACTCACAAACAACTTAYGGAAACCTAGTCAGACTTGGGTAAGTCCACAAGGCTTCTCAGAGTTAACAACTGAAATCTTCTGGTAGATGAATTTATTATTCTCAGCATTAGCAAGATTGAATCTCTGTTTAGACCAGTTCTTGTTAAAATTAACATTTGGAAGCCAGACCATTCAACCTTTGATATTTTAACAAAATATCACTTTGGCCTTAATCTAGAAATAAACCTTAGTTTATCATCTACCAAACTGCCTAAGCAGAATCAGACGCCACCATGAATCACATGCTTGATCGGGTGGAGTGATATCATGCCTCTATGATAATATTGACTTACAAGGCTAAACAGTGTATGAAGGTGAGTGTATTAAAAGAAATCTATTTTTCAAAGCACTTATATTTCAAAATATCCTTACTTTCAAAGAAGAAAAAGTAAAGTGGGTTAATGGAAGAAATGGGTGACATTTTACGGCATTTGAAATTTGATTCAGACCCTGATATTATTTGCCTTTTAAAGCTTGATAGAAAAATAATATTAATGTAGAATAACACACTAATGACACCAACCCATAATTAAATTTTAATTTAAAAGATAGCAGAAGGAAAATTTATTTATTGGGSTCTCACAGACAGATCCCTGGGTCTGAGAATTTTAAATACTTGCTCTGAATCAAAGTTTAGATGGGAAAGAATACTGAGATTAAAGATCCCCTGATCTGGGTCTGTTTTAAAGCAACAACTCCTCAGGTGAGAGCCCGACCATTACTCTGTTTGCACAGTTTCTCCATCTTCGTCTAACTCAATACAGTGGTTTTTATGGAAGAACTTCTTGTTCAGTGTTTCCAATGTGGGAAGATCACAGAACGTCACAGAGGCAGGTACTCGTAGGAATATTCGGGGGAGTATCAAAATATTTCTAAAAAAGATAAGAATTTTATTCTTTTCGTTGGTACAGGCAGTGGTATAGTCTGGGCTTTTCAATTTTTTTTTTTCTCCGAAAATAACTTCAAGACAACAAGTTTTCCAGCATAAAATAAGTGGGGGATGGAAAAGAAAGAGCTGTTCTGTAGAAGGAGCGGATCAAGGTGCTGAGCAGGTGCGCGCCCTGCAGGGGCACGGCAAACAAAAGGGGAGAGGYGGGGAGGGATTCCGAAGGCTGGGACGCAAATTAAAGACAAAAAAATCAATGCCAGCAGATAACTCTGAGCCCGATTAGGATCAGCCGCTCAGCCGCTGACTGCCCGGGCGGCGCCGCGGCAGCTGCCGGCCCCGCATTCCTTCAGCCCGGGCAGCGGGCGGGTCCGGGGCCGCTCTCCCGCACCAGCCCCAGTTTAGGCTCATTTGGTTAATCCCCTCTCTCCCTGGCCGCCCCACGGCCGCAGGGTCCAGCGGCGGGCGGGGCGATGCCGAATGGGACAGCGGGGCACGGAGAGGGACGGGCGGGTGCCGGAGGGGACGGGCAGGTGAGGGGGACGGGCGGGGGGCGGAGGGCAGGGCTGTGCCCGGCTCCGCCCGCTCTCCCAGGCTGCTCCGCGGTGCAGCCGGGGGAGGTGGAGCCGCTTTATCGGGAGCCGAAGTGGAAATTTCCCCCTCAGTTGCCGGCTCCGCGGCGGAGGAGACAGCAGCGAGAGCAGCTCGCCCTCGTCGCCCCGTGTCGCGCCGCGTCCTGCCCGCTGTCATGTCCAACTACATCCACGTCCCGCCTGGCTCGCCGGAGGTGCCCAAACTGGACATCACCGTCAGCGAGCGGGAGGGGCCCGGGTACCGCCARGGCGCCCTGCAGCTCCTGCGCCGGCTGCGCCCGCACTGGAGACCCGAGGAGGTGACGCTGCAGGTACGGCGGGGTTCGCGCCCCGCTCCCCGCGGGGGATGCGGCAGCCCGGGAGCGGGGAGGGAGGGAGGGGAGAGGCGGGCAAGGAAGGGGGGAGGGCGGGCGGCCATTGTGCGGGGGAGCTGCCGCCTCGCTTCCTCCCCCTCCCTCCTTCCCCCGCTCTCCGCCGCAGCCCCCTGCGCGGAGCCCCATTTGCCAGGCGGCCCGGCGGCGGGGCGGGGCGGCGCGGCAGCATCCGCGGCCCCCGCCTTCCCTCTTTCCTTCCCGGCGCTCCTCCTTCCCACCGCCCGTTTCTCTCTTCCTCCTTCCATGCCCTCCCCGCTACAACTCGGCTGCCCGTGTTAGCGGCAGGGAGAGCTCTAGTGCCGAGGGCGAGGGAGGGAAGAGGAGGTGTTCTCTAGCGTCATCCTGTCCGTGTCTGTGCCGGGCAGGGCGTGTTTATAAACCGGGGGCAGAGCAGGGGACAGRCCGCCGCAGGAGGGGACACCGCCGCCGAGGTCGCGGCTGCCGCTCTGGGGCTCTCCCACAGGCGGTGGAGACCTTTGTCGGGTGCTTCCTGTAATTAAAAATATAATAATTATCTATCTTGTAATTGGTAACCGGGCAGGGGTTTAGGCTGGCGGTATGGCTGCGCACCGGCCCCGCTAACGCCCTTGCTCTCTGCTCTTGGCAGAAGCACCGCTGCTCGCTCTGGTGTTCTCTAGGTGAGCAGTCATTCGTATTTATGACGAGTCATCTGCTGGAGGATTGGCTGCTTTTGTGCTTCTAGAATATACTTAACCCTGGCCCCCTGGACTTAAAAGGTCTTCAGCCAATTTGCCTGGCTAAAGTAGCAGTTCAGCCTGCGGTTAGTTGGGCATTTTATTATCTGCTCTTCAACTGTGTTATTCAGCAGTTGTTATGTGGAGGTGTCTTATTTCAGTGAAATTCCTCTTCAGAGAACTGCTGAACTAACTGYAGGAAAGCTGGGCACATAATTTGACATTAATTTTTCTGAAGAATCTTGAAAGGTAAGTGAAACTTGACTCTTGACAGTGCAGTTAACATGAAAATAAAGCTAGTGAGCTTCTTCTAAATAATCTGTTTGGGGCAGTGGCCATAAGTCCCAGCATCTTGAGGTGCAATGGAAGCAGTTTACAACATGAAAAGYTAAACAAGGTTGTTAGAGTTCATAGACTATCTTGAGTTGGAAGGGGTCCATAAGCATAATCCAACTCCCTGCTACTTGCTTTAACTTAACTTTACGTAAAGTTAAACATGGTTTTATTTTTTTAGTTCTCCAATGAGGGCTGCTCTCAGCAGAGTAGTTTTCTTTCTTCCATTCAGGAATGTTGAGAAATGAAACCAAAACATTTTCCTATTTAGGGGGAATGACTCTATCCTTTGGGTAAAGGTGTAGTAAGTTTAAGAAAAAGAAGTSTTGCTTCCTTCTGCCACCCYCTTTGCAAGAAGCAATTAACAGAATAAAAACCATTGGCATCATTGGTGTGGAACAGGGACGCTTTTGATTGGTCATGCAGAAGTGAAGTTGGAGATTGTTGTGTGTGATTAGAGGTTTCTGTCTAAAAGGAAGTGTTGACATTTTAACCAAGTTACTTTCAGAACACAGCTTTTCAGCTCGTTTTCCTTTTGAAAGTAAGAAGAACATTCTAGTMACAAAGCCCTTCAGTGGCCTTTTATTTTAACTCTTTAGCCTGTGTTTCAGCTGCTCTGAGTGTGTAACAAGCAGGAATGCCTGTGGTTTGAAACTGGTTCCAGCAGCAGTGATGGCAATACAGCCAGTTACAGATGCGTGTTGCACATGCATCAAATGCAGAAAGGTGTTGAAATGAAAGGTGACTCTGTTTGTGAAGGTGATGGAGTGAACAGGAGGATGCCCTGGAGGCCCCGTTTAGAGGGTGGTGTGTTCAGGAGGAAGATGAGGATGGGACTCCTGTATTGCATGGAAAATATGCCTGACTAATCTGAAACAGCAAAGTGGACAAAGAATAGTGATAGGTTTAATGAACCTGTGCTTCCTCTGGTGAACTCTGCCGTTAGCTACCTTTGCTCTTAGTAATTCTTGGGTCAGAACAATTCATAAGAAGTTGAAGAGTCCAGAGTTTGATTTGAAAAAGTTAATTRGTTTCTCTTGTAAAAATTTACTGTYAATTTGTTTAGTTAGCTAAACAATTTTGAAACTGTGGTTAGAATATATTAATGTTTAATCCCCACTTTCGCTRTGATTTGTAAGTATCCCAAATCAGGAATATATTTGTACATTTRTAAGTTTTCTTTCGCACCACAACATAAACCACAAATGCAGGATGGAAGATGAAGATAATTAAAATCTTCAGTGCTTWTATTATTATTTTATTGCATTATTTATCAGAAAGTCTATAGCATCCAGTAGCATGGTCCATTATTTTTTGAAATGGAAGCAGCTATACTATAATGTATCTCCTTTATATCAAGTTATGTTTTATCCCTACGGGACAGTATAAATATTCAAGTTAATCTCCATTTCTCGGGAGAAGCAGAATTTTTCTGTCTAAACACTCAACTTCATGTAGGTACATTGTGCAGTTGTCAACTGAAAATGTCCTAGGAACTGTATAGAATTGGGTGCGTTATTTTCTAACTCTGGAATTTTTAAGGTTTGCTTTCTCTGCTTTTTGCAATAGTCACTTTTGATTCTGGAATGGATGCTTTTCAGTTATAGAATTGTAGTTTAGGTTGGAAGGAATCTTTGGAGGCCTCTCTCCCAACCTTCTGCTGAAGAACTCACTGCTTGCTAAATTCAGAAATTGGCTGTGATGAACATGATAGACAGGTTTTTAAAAATTTCATAAAAAGAAATGATCTTCTAACTCAAAACAGTCTCTCTGAGTTTTGTAAGTAGCTTGAAGTTTGACAGTGGGCATTCCAGTTTTTATATTCTGCATGACTCTTAGTTGAACATAAATGCTTAATTGATTTAACTTTTACTCTTTTAAAAAGGTTGTATTACCCTTCCTAATGTAAAAATACGCTCACAGGTTAGAATTTGTTGCTCATCTTATGAATTCCTTATTTTTTCTCTTTTATGGAGGTTCATTTGTGGTAGTATTTGAAGGAGGATCTGTGTTTGCTTATGGTATGGGAAAGTTAGTTTCCACTTCAGTAAGTGCAGATTCAGGATTTTTTTATCCCATGACCTGTCTACCTCTTGTAAATCTGGTAGCAAAGCAGATTTCAATAGGTTAATGCACAATTTCCTCTCTGCAGTGTAACATTATAGTGCAGGAAAAACCATCAGTATTTCTTACCATTCTGAAGTAATATTTAATATTGAGAATAAAGGCTGTCTGTTTTTATTGGTGAAAAGACTTAATGCTAATAGTGTTAATTTATACCATTATTTGGTTAGACTGGGATGATATATCTGAGAAAAAAATAAGCTGAAAAATCATTCAAAGATCTAAAAGCACAAAACTGTTATGCTGACAAATAGTGCTCCTGTCCTGGATGAAACCTGAGGAGAGGTGGAAAAAAAAATCTGTTTTGCAAAGGGGATAAAATCTTCATTAAGACACGCCATAAACCCCCCTGCAAATTTTGCAAATGACTATAATTTCCAAATAAATTTGATCAGTGTTCTTTTTTAATTCTCTGAAAAATTTGGCCTTGCTTGTTTTCTGGTACTG